TGTGTAGACATATGTTTTCATTTATTTTGGGTAAATCGCTTGGAGTGGAATTGTTGGGTTGGATGGTAATCATATGTTTAATTTATAAGAAACTGCCAAACTGTTTCTATCGTGGTTTTAACATTTTACATTCCTGCCAGTAAAGTATGAGAATCCAATTGCTTCACAGCCTTTCTAGCACCTCAGGCTTTCCAACTTTAGCCATTTTCATGGGTGTATACAGTAATTACTTATTGTGGTTTTAATTTGCATTCCCTGGTGACTTTTTATGAGTTTACTGGCAACCATACATCTTCTTTTGTGAATCTGATGAGATTCTTTGTCTATTTTCAACTGGGTTGTCTGTCTTCTCATTGATTTGTAGGAGTTCTTTATATTTTTTGGATATATCCTTTTCCAGATATGTATGTTTGTAGCTTGCTTTTTAAAATCTCTTAATGGTATCTTTTGAAAAGCAGATTTAATTTTGATGAAACTGAAGAAAACTACATTTTTAAATGGTGCTGTGAACTCCGAATACATTTATAGCTATTTCGTTGCCATCCAAAAATTCTACAAAAGTTATCTAACAGGAAACTGATGAATTTCAGGGGAGTGCCCACTTACAAAGTCTTTCTCCTAAAATTAAGCAGTGTTAACAGTAATATTACACAGTTTCTCACAGATCATCAACTAAGTCCTTCTTCGGTGGGAAAGGCAGACGCTTTACAAGAAATAGGTATTAATTTTACTTCCTGCTCTATTTTTTCTTTACATAGTAGACACAAAAACCGTTAAAGCTGGCTGGGTGTGGTAGCTCACACATGTAATCCCAGCACTTTGAGAGGCTGAGATGGGTGGATCACCTGAGGTCAGGAGTTCAAGACCAGCCTGGGCAACATGGTGAAACCCCACCTCTACTAAAAATACAAAAGTTAGCTGGGCACGGTGGCACATGCCTGTAATCCCAGCTACTCGGGAGGCTAAGGTAGAAGAATCACTTGAGCCCGGGAGGCGGAGGTTGCAGTGAGCCAAGATTGCACCATTGCACTCCAGCCTGGGCGACAGAGTGAAACTCTGTCTCAAAATAATCATAATAAAATTTTTTAAAAAATTAAAACCATTAAAGCAACCAAATAGTACAATTTTGGCCACTACATTGTTTTGGCTGCTACATTTTAGGCACTGTGCTAAAATAAATTAATCCTCTTGGAAACTCTGTGAAGTAGATATTTTTGTCTTCATATTCAGATACTCAGATAAGGACAGTGAGTTCAGAGAAATTAAATACCTGGATGAATATCACACAAAGAGGTGGCTACGCTGTGATTCCAAGCTAGGTCTAACTCCAAAGTTGGTGTTCTTCATTAATATTCTGTATCTGTTCAGGACATGTACAAATCAAATCATGGACATTTGATTTTAGATATACCGAATGTTGATTTTGGCAGGTTGTAGAGGGAGTAGAGGCTGAGGAGAGGGGATGGCGGACAAAGATTAGGTCTGGAACTTATTTTGGTTCATGCCTCCAGTTCCTAATCCCCTAGATAGGCTGGATAACTTTATGAGGGTCAGTGTAGCCAAGCCAAATTGAATCAATTTAAACACATTCAGAAGCAGAACTGCTTCAGATAATCTAACCAGTTAACAGGACATTCAGCTTATTACATGCTCTGCCGGAATTTCACGAGATCCTTCTTTTGTTAAAGAATATTGAGAGTGACTTCCTCAAACTTTATGCTAAGGCTTGATCTAAATTTCACATGTAATCAATACTTTTCTTGCTACCACTTATGTCAGATCTCCTCATGAAAGTCATGTAATTATTTGGAATCTTATCCTGGTGATTAACACAATTAATGCCCAACTCTCTTTTGAAACCTTTAATGCATGTTGTTTTCCAACTTAGCAGACGTGAAATTCCTGTAGTTTACTGAAGCTGCAAGTTTGGGACTTTGGCAGTCTCATATTAGTAGTCACACATTCTACTAAGGCCCTTCCTTCTACTTGATGCCCTGAGTGGATGTCACTTGCACAGCAAACATCATATGCTCAGTGAGATCATTAAGTTATAACTGCTTTAATCAGCAATATAGTGTCCGCTATTGTATACTTCTGCTGAATTCTAACTCTGTGAATTTTCCTTTTTACAGTTACATGTTGCATATGAAAATCCAGATGATCTTGACTAGTCAGACTGAAATGAATTAAAGACTGAGCATAACCTATTAGAAGTTATGCACTTATTAATAAAAAGACAAATCTGTGTTTTCCCCCTTCTTTAAAAATCAAGCACCAAAACAATAAGTTAGTTTTAGAATGCATTGAGATGGTATTCAACTGCATTGTGGAAGGAAGAAGTAAATTAGAAAGAAAGTGATAGCTATATGTGCTTAGAAATCGGCTGCTTTCAACCAAGGGAAAAAGGAACACTTACACAAAGGCCAATGCTTTTTTTTTAATTGCAAAAGAATATTTAAAAGATAATGACAGTTAAAATAGAATTTTGCAGCCTTTCCTTTTATCATAAACTATAACAGGAGGTGAAATCCACAATTTTCTGAAATTTTGTCCCATTTAAGCTTCCAAAATGTTTCTTATTTTTAAACCTGAAAAACATTAAAACACCCTTATCCTGAGAAGTTTGTGTCATGTTTATATCTGCTCTGATCCTCCCACAATCCACTATTTGATTATTAAAGGTAATTGGCACTTAGCATCAAATATTTAATACACTGATATGTAAGTATCTAATTTTCTTACTATCAGGCAGGAATTTAGACTTCTTATAAAGTTTTTATGCTTATCTGATTGCTGCTGCTTATAATTAAGGCCTCAATAATCATAAAAACATTCCAATAAATGTTTCAGATATAAAAGAAATTTAAGCAATATTTTTTAAAAATAGGGTGAAAAAATGACAATAGGCATGTCTTTCTCCCTCTCTGAAAATATCCCCTAAAAAAACTCTCCTGAAAAAAGTTTCTCATTAGAAATAATTATGAATATACTGTCTGTGCTTCACAAAAGAGTTATAAATATAAAAAAAGGAAGTCAGATAAAATATATACACTAAAAAGGGAGAAAAGACATATAAATAATATAGTCTGTTCTTTTGGAATCCTATTTTTGAAGTGCTTTACAAATTACCATATTCTTATAGTATTTTGTGAGTTAAGTAGATAGTTAATATTCTTGGTATTTGGCAACTCAGATCATAAAGAGGTAAAATACACTAAATTGTCCACATCCCTTGAGCCTACACCTGAGGCAGTAAGATAACCCATGTCCCAGGACTCAGCTTTAGTACTTTGTCCACGCTCTTTTCCTCTGTCCATGGTGCTCTGCCTAGGGGATGTAGCTAGCCATCCCACCCTATAGGGGTTAACTGGGCCAACTGAGAAGGGCCATGACAAAGAATAGCTTAGGCATCACTCGACATCAGGCATAGAAAGAGAACAACTAATGGGTAAGAAGAGTCAAGTGATATTGATCGGTGGCTCCCCAGGGTTGAATTCAGAACATGTTCTGCTGTCTCTTGGGTGCCAAGTTTTGACGGAAAGGGCAAAGGACAACTTGAACAATGTGGGGTGGGCGGGTGAAATCTCCATTTATTGTTGTTCACGTGGGAATGGAGTGCTCGGAATGAGGGAGATCTTGACAAGGCTCCCTGCCAGTAGCGGCCTCTTGTTTCTTATCAAAAACTGAATATTCAGTCCTCCTTTCTCTTCACCGCTGGGGTTGGAAAGTATTGGGAGAGCGTATCGGTACCAGAGGGCAGAGATATTGTGTGAAGAGGACCTTTGTGCTTAATGGGAAAAAAATAGGAGAATGAAAAGAGGAGAAAGAACAAGACTTAGAAGTTGAAAAATGGAAAACAGACTAAATGAAAAAGAATAAGCAAGAAAGTGGCCCTAGGTCTAGAAAACACCAATTTTTTTATTTTGCCAGAGGGTGAAAGGTCCAATGTAAAGGAAACACACACACACACACACACACACACACACACTTCAAGAAGCTCATGTAAGGAAAGAATAGGCACAACTTATATATACATTAGTAGGGCGTGGGTCAAATACATTATGGTACAGCCATACAATAGAATACCATATAGGCTTTTAAAACAATTTAAGTATACAAATATTGGCACAGACATCTAAGATTGATTTACTGAAAAAATAAAATGGCAGAGTAATTTTTAAGATATAACTTTATTCTAAAAGTAATACAGGTATAGAATATGTATAGAATAATATGTATAGAAAATAATATGGAGGGTAAAGCATCAAGCAGCCAAAGGCAGTTATTTCTTGGGGGAGAAAGGGAGAAGGAGGAGAAATTATTGTGGAAGGTGATTGTGTTTTATATTGCACATTTTTGTGTTTATTTGAAACTTTTTTTTTTTTAGACGAAGTCTTGTTCTGTTGCCCAGGCTGGAGTGCAGTGGTGTGATCTTGGCTCAGTGCAACCTCTCCTCCTGGGTTCAAGCAATTCTCCTGCTTCAGTCTCCCAAGTAGCTGGGACTACAGGTGCGCCACCACGCCCAGCTAATTTTTGTACTTTTAGTAGAGACATGGTTTCACTATGTTGGCCAGGCTGGTCTCGAACTCCTGACCTCATGATCTGCCTGCCTCGGCCTCCCTAAGTGCTGGGATTACAGGTGTGAGCTACTGCTCCTGGCCTATTTGAAACTTTTAAAAATAAAAATATCATTTCCATTGTGTATTCGAAATACATCAATAAGAAGTATATAAATAAGTTATATTGCAAAGAAGAAACATAATACATAGGTTAAAAAAAGAAAAATTTTATAATTTGCAGTAAAACTTAACATTGAAGTAATCTATACACAGATGTCTGTATCTATGAAATGGTGATCCCAAAGTAAGAGTTTCAATTTCATTTAAAGAATGTTTGTCTTAAATTGACATGAGTGGTGAATTTTTAAAAGGTGATAATTATAGAAGTGTATTATACTTTATTAGCTCAAAACTGGATATTAGATATAATCCATAACTTACCTATTGATGTAATTGATATTTTTCAGTAATTGAGTATTTTCTTCTGATCAATTTGAATTATTCTCTTCAGCTCTTATATTTGGGTAAATCTCATAAAGTAACTCTAATTGCTTCAATTTAAAGACAGTCCTTCCAAGGAGAGACTCACAAAGCACTAAGAGGAAAGGGAGAGCAACAAAATTTTACAAATATGTATTGAAATACATGAACAGCATATTTTAAATCAAGTCTTTAGAAAACAGCAGAATTTGGAAGCCGTCTAACTTGACTGCAATAGTCAACCTGCATAGATGGGCCCAACTGCTGTAACTTTTGAAGTAAGTAGACTAGGTTACATGTGAAACATACAGTAATGACAATTTCACCTGGGATTTTGGATATTCTTCCACTTATCATTTAGGAAAAACTCTTACATGAAATCAGACCAAGAAGCTATCCAGGGCATTGTAAAATCTCAGCCGCAGCCATACCAAAAAGAAAAAGAAAAAAAAGTGTAGGCTGAGCACGGTGGCCCACGCCTGTAATTCCAGCACTTTGGCAGGCCGAAGTGGGCAGATCACCTGAGGTCGGGAGTTCGAGACCAGCCTGACCAACATGGTGAAACCCCATCTCTACTAAAAATACAAAATTAGCTGGGCGTGGTGGCGCATGCCTGTAATCCCAGCTACTCAGAAGGCTGAGGCAGGAGAATTGCTTGAACCCGGGAGGCGGATGTTTCGGTGATCAGAGATCGCGCCACTGCACTCCATCCAGCCCGGACAACAAGAGCGAAACTCTGTCTCAAAAATAAAAAGAAGTGTAAATCTTTTGTTGTGTACAAAATCACACAGAAGCTATGTTCCCGTCTGTTTGCATATGGCAGTCAGGTAGATAGAATTCTATTTAATAGGATGTCATAAACAGTCCACTCACATAGAGCTGGGGCCCTGTCCCAAATTAATGTAAGCATAAGAAGAATTTCCTAAGCTGGAAAAACTTACAAGTATTTATGATTTTGGAAACTTTTGAAGGCTTGTCTTATACATTTCAGGCTTAAGTAAAACTTCAGAGTCATTTCTCCCCATAGTATTGTAAAATTAGAGGCCAGGCAGAAAAGAATTAAAAGAGTAGGATGAGGAAAGTCAGTAGGGGCAGAGCTGGGGGTTTGTTAACACCTAGAACAGTGCGAAGAGGTGACAGGAAACGGTCCCCTTCCGACATCTGGACCAAGGTGAGGCACTGGGGAAACCCAACGGGAGACACTGCTCTCAGACGGGAAGAGCTGCCGGCTGTAAACAACTCAGGCTGTCTTGTCTTGGGAGAACAGTTAAGGAATGGACACCACGAGGGCAACGGACTTCTGAGATAACTAAACGCACCTCTACTTGGCCACTTAGCTCCTCACCAGGCCCCAGGGTCCCACCCTTCCCGGGTTGCCTTCCCAGCATGCCCCGCGCTTTTCCCGGCGTGCCCTGCGGCCGCTCCCCAAGCCGTCTCCCGGAGGACTCCGGGCGCCCCTCCGCCATCTGCAGCTCCCTGCAGACTTGCAGGCTCAGACGGGAGCTGTCCACCGCCTGCATCAGGAAACGGGCTTGCGTGCGTGCAGTAACTACCTTCTTCAACGTGAGATTCCCCCAGGTCCCGTAAATGCTTGGGAAATTTCCCTAACCCCCTCCCGTTCCATGTGACCTTAAAAATCCTGAAAAACCTATGGTCCCAAGGCTTACCCACCTGGGAACAAGTCTTGTTTCCAAAAGTCAATCAACCTCAGGTTAAGCAATCTAGGGAGAACACCTGCTCAGGATCAAAACGTTTCCTCCTCATTCCTTTGCAGAAATCTTCAGCTTTAGCCTATCTTGAGCTATTATTCATTGTCTAATTGCTTTGTTCCCTAGTAACTCAAATAAAATCAAATTCTGCAGAAACCGAGTTTCACTGTGTCTGGAGGAACAAGGAATGCAAAGGTAGTGTGAGGAAACGAACCATTCACCTTTTTCAGTCCTAGCATAGAAGTAAATACAAACTTTACCCAGTTGTATTGTTGATACTATGAATGTGTGACATTAAGAATTTAGAGTTTATAGAGTAATCTATGTGTTCATTAACGAGCTTGAATCTAGAAATAATCTTGTTGGTTGGTAGCCTAATTGTGATTATCCTGTGCATTTTAAAAATGAAGAAACAATCTGTGAGAGCTTACGAGACTTTCTAAAGCCTCACATCTAGTAAGTAGCAGAACTAAGGACTCAAACCCAGGACTCCTCACTTTATTACCCATGTTAAGAAATTCTTTTTTAAAAAAGTCATTGAAGTTATTATTCAAAGCCCTTCACTTATGTTTATTTTGATTAATATAAATGACTGTTCTATGATGACAAATATCCTTTTCTTTGAGGATAGTCTGATAAAAAAAACCACAACACATCCATATAGAGATAGACACTGTAGATACAGAGATATTATCTATACAGAGAAAGAGAAAGAGAGAGAGATACAATATAAGTGTACAATATAGGAAAGGCAGTTGTAGGGAAAGAAAGATAAAGAAAGAGAAAAAGAGAAAGGGAGATCACAAGGTGATGTGGCTCAAAAGAGAGATCTCTCAGTTGGGAGGACCTCTGGAGATTTGGGATGACGCTGGGCCACTTGTGGTTCATAATACCAGGATCACACTAATAATTCTTATATCTCAGGCTCAGCCCCACCTGGCCCTTCTGGAGCCTTTCAAGCCCATGGATCTCCTAGGGTAATTTCAGCCTGACTTTGGAGTACAAGGTGGAGAAAAGACAAGACATATTACTCAGGATGGGTAATGAGTATGTCATATACCAAGAGATCTGGCATATATGATCAGGATTAATGGTTTTTATCATCACCCTGGGTTTGATCAAATTTTTTTTATGTGCTTTTAATGTCTAATGTTGGAAAAGTAAATTCCTGGAAAATTAGTTAAAGGCTGGATTATTTCTCCATTTTGAAGTATAGGCTAAGGATACTTTTACCAGAGTTTGAGAACTTATTTTATAATAATACCCAGATATTTTCTGAGGGAATATGATATTAAAGATTTTGACAGTAATGAAGGGAACAGAGGTGATGAAAAATACTGTTTTTCCTGCACTATATATCCTGGTCTGTATTTTAAAGATAAAGTAATCTATTGGAAAAGATGTTGATGTAAGAAATTAAAGTCTTTAAAAACAAGCTCTAAACATTGTACTTTTTAAAAAGAGGATAAGAATATCATCCTGAAATACTTTTTGAATATTACATGTGATTTCATTGCATACTAAAATAATTTAAGTATCCAATTAAACACAGATTTGTGAAGAAAATAGATGGTTCTGTTTAGGGATTTGGTTGAAAAATTAATGCTAAAATGCAATGAAACAAACCCAGATTTATAACAGTAGACATAGTATTATTTCTAAAACACATAATTACAAAAATATATTTAGCCAATATAGATTTTTTTTTGTTTTTGAAGAATACGTCATTTAGTAAAAATTACAAAGTCCTGAACAAAGAGGTCTAAAGTCATTAATACATAGACACTTCGATTGTAAGCCTTCCCATTGTAGTTACCTGTAGGAGTAAATAAAGGAGCTTTATTAAATGTAAGGCCGCATCTTTTCTACCTAAGTCTTTTAGACTTTTAGGTTCCTTGGAAATTTCACCCACTAAAATCAACATGTGATTGCTAAATCAGTATTAAGATAGTAAGAATCCAACTGTGGGTTTTTTTCTAGATTATTTATTTTTAATTTCTTCTTGGATTCTATATACAAATACTATGCTTTGATATTTTGAAACTTAAATAACAGAAAAGGAGAATTTCTATAATGGGATTCCTACTTATTTTATGTCTATGAAAGCTATTTTGCTTGTTTATTTGCTATATACAGACAGAAAAATGTATGGAACTAATTTTAAAAACCCAATATATTTTCTGTTATGGAATTTAAAATAAGCCTGACAGTAACTTATTTTTTTGTCCTTGGGGAGAAATATCAGAAGCTAATTTCCTCTCTGAGGGCAGATCAAATTTATTGTGTGACAGATAATTTCTTAAACACACTGGATCTGTCCTAAAATACTATCTTTGGGACATAGGCCTTAAGACTACCTTCTAAGTGAAGGAGGTCTTTGGGATACTTAAGAATGTAAGCTGTCTTGGATAAAGTCTGAGATGAACTATCCTGATTTCAAAATCCACTTACGGAGTACTGTCTAAAGGTTAGCTTTGAGTGTATTGACTTTGTCATAATCTTATCGTACATTAATATTTAAGTTTCTGTGGAAGGATTGTGGAGAAATCTGCTAGAGAAAGTGTGCAACATGGTAAAGAGAATTGTAGGAAGAGAAATGGCAGCCCTGCTCAAGCAGTGAGAATAATAAAATGGTCATCTGGAGGTTTCCAGAGACAGTTGGCAAGGTTCAAATCCAAGCTCTACCAGGTAATAACTATGTAAGGTTTCACTGTACAACGGAGATAATATATAGTACATTTACCTCATAGTGTTGTTGTAAGGATTATAGAAATACAGGTAATGTGTATGGCATGTAGTAAGCAGTCAATAAATGTTTGCTATTATCATTATAGCTGAAAACTTAAGCTACTTACCTCTACCTGTAGAGACGGTGAGTGATGAGCTAAAAATATGGCCTAGATACTTATGTTTGAGGTTTCTTTTATAATCTTAATCCATCTGGCCTCATACTAATTTTCCTTATTATACTACCTGTAATGTAACCTCCACCCCCAGTTGTCTAGCCTATATACCCTTTCAGAATTCTCTTACCCTAATGTTCATCTGGGTTTCTTGTTCACTCCTCCAAACTCTTACGCTTCCCCTTGTTGTAAAATCCTCCAACTGTACCCTCCAGAATTCCCAACCCAGAGGCACAAACTCTTCTCCATCCTCCACCATTTTAAATACTATGATCTAGTTTAATCACAAACTGGCTTTTTGTCCAGGACATTACTTCCTTTTTCAGGAGGAAGCTGCTCATTTGCCTCACTCTTTAGTGCGATTTCCAGACTATTTCCCTTTAACTTTCTTCGCCCGCAGTCACCTCAGAGATCTCACTGACACTATTAGAACAGTGTTGGGAATGATAATAATTGATATTGGTAGGGTTAAATGGGGACAATGCATGTAAAATGTCTGGCATAGTGCTAAGAACATATGAAATTCCCAGTAAATTTTAGTTTTTGCTATTATATTTACCTTCTAAGTGAAGGAGGTCTTTGGGGGTTACTTAGAATGTAAACTCTCTTGGGAGTCTGAGATGAACTGTGATATCCAAAATAACTACACCTAAGAAATCATGAATTGAGCCCATTCCTATTATCTCCTATCTGTTCTAGTCCACTGACCTTCCTGCTGTTTCCCAGTTCTATCCCTGCACACATGTTCTCTCTTCCCTCTCTAAGCTGGAGCACAGTTTAGATTCTATTTTTCTATGAGTCATTTTTTGGTCAATATCCTAGACTCCCTTGCTTTGTTGTCTTTTGACACATTCTCAAACCTAGATGTGCCCAACTGCTCATCTTGTCTTCACCTGCACCCAGGCTGCTTAGTGCTGCTGGGGAATATCATACTACTGAGTAGGCTTACATTACTGTAAATTCATTGTCACCAGCTTCACCTGGATTCCTAGTATTTCCTGTCAATTTCTTGTCAATCCCCACTATGTTTTATTAGTCAACTCTATATTCCATTCTCCACTGTGCTTATTTCAAACCTTTTTCAATCTCTTCAAAGCACACATTCTCTACTGGTATGTTTATGGCAGCACTATTCACAATAATAAAGATATGGAATCAACCTAAGTGTCTATCAACAGAGGATTAGATAAAGAAAATATGGTATATATACACAGTGGAATACTATTCAGCTTTTTAAAAAAGAATGAAATCATGTCTTTTGCAGCAACATGAATGAACCTGGAGGCCATTAGCTTAAGTGAAACAACTCAGACACAGAAAGACAAATACCACACGTTTTCACTAATAAGTGGAAGCTAAAAAAATGTGTCCACATGGATGTAGCATGTGGAATGATGGACAGTGGAGACTCAGAGGGTGGGGACTGAGGGGGTGGGAGGCAGGGTGGAGGATCGGGGGCTACTTGGTGGATACAGCGTGTGTTGTTCCAGTGATGCACTGAAGGCCCTGACGTCACCACAACACAATATATCCATGTAGCAAAATTGCACTTGTACCCCAGGAATATATACAAATAAATACATAAAAGCTCCTCTTTATGTTGTTATTATTTCTTTATTCTTTTTTAAGTTGACATAAAATTGTATATATCATATACAACATGTTTTGAAATATGTACATATTGTGTAATGGCTTAAACTAATTAACATATGCCTTATTTCACATAATAAAACTTCCTCTTTTCTCAAGTACATACACCCTTACAATAGAAATGAGTTGGCCGGGCG